GGGGGGGCGCCAGCGCCGCCGAGCTCGTGTCGGGCACCGTCTCAGGAGCTGTTCACCCCCACCGACTTGCAGCTCCCCGAGCGTTGGCGAAATCGGGGCAGCCGGAAAGCTGCTGCTAATGCTGCCGCGGGTGTGGGCCGTAAGAGCCCTAGCCAGTTTGGTTTTGTCGATCAAGGAGCTTCCACCAGAGGAGGGGTAGACGCCGCCGCCGCCGCCGCCGCCGGGAGCAACAGCAACCTCGGTGGTGGTGGTGGTTCGGGTCGCCTGGGGGTGGGCTCCGGGGCGAGCGAGCGAGCCATCGGCATGCGGGGGTCGTTGACCAGGGTGTCGACGGGCCATAGCTCCAGGTCCGACGTCGCCGCCGCAAGCGGCGGCGGCAAGCGGTCGTTGTTAAAGTCGACCGGGAGCGCGAGGAGCGTGAGCAGCGCTCCCACCCCCGCCCAATCGGACAACTCTGCGACAGCGGCGGGGCCCCGTAGAGGTGGCAGCCCCGCCCCCTCCCGCGGCGGCGGCGCCTCCAGTCCTCCTTGCGCAGATGGCGGCGAAGGCGGCGAGGGTTCTGCCGTCGCCGTCCACCGCCGTATGGCAAAGGGCGAGGGTAGTCCCTCGGGCGGTAGGGCGGCGCTGTTGCTCCGAGAGAGAGCGAGGATGGGAGGCTTTGCCTCGGCGGGTGACGGCGGCGGCGGCGGCGGCGGCGGCGGCGAGGGGGGGGATAGAGACGAGACGGGGGTCGTCTCTTCCTCCTCTTGTTCGTCCTTGCTCGGGGAGGGGCGAGATAGTGGCCGTCTCGACCCGGCGGCACCACCGGCGGCGGCAGCAGCAGAGGCTACTGGTGGTGGAAGTCCGACCGCTTCACGCGAAGGCGAGGACGGCGGCCCCTGCTGTTCTTCCTCTCTGGTGTCTTGCAGCCCTGCTGCTGCCACCGCTGACAGCACCGTGGCGGCTTTCGAGGGCATCGGCGATGATTGCACCAAAGATGAGACGGGGGGAGAAGCAACCTCACCGGGGGTTAAGGGGGAGAGAGAACGACGAGGAGGCAGCAGCAGCAGCAATGGTCTCGAAAACGAAAAGGAGGGGGCTTCCGCGTTTCGGTCCGTCTTCAAAGACGGCATCCGCGAACTGGGAATCAGCGACCGCACCGTCGGGGGGGGACGGTCGAGCAGCCGCCGGACCTTGTCGCAAGGAGAGTCGGAAGACGGAGATTCTGCTGGCCGCGGTCGTCACGCCGGAGCAGGAGCTCCAAAGCCCGGTGATGGCGGTCACCGTCCCGGCGGCGGCGGCGGTCGGGACGAAACGTCTCCCGTGCTCAGCCCCTCGGCCGCGCCCCGAAGTCGACAGCAGCACATGCTGAAAGCGCGGTCGTCCTTCGAGGGCAACGGCAGCAGCACGCGGGACATCTCCGCCGGGGCGTCCTTCAACTGGAGCACCAACTCCCTGTCGCCTACGACCGCTGAGAATGACCAGGACGATTGATTGTTCCAGCTGCTGCTTGAGGCTGCCGCCGGCGTGTCCTGCACTCTTGGATGGTGTGTGTTGCGTCTACGCTTGCCGACATGCAGCTATTGATGATGATGATGATGATGATGTCGTCGGTCGGTCGGTCGCTTCGAGCCGGCGCGTGGTTGCTCTGGCACCGCTGCTGCGGCTTAAGCTATGCTGCTCCCTCGTTTGTCTCCGCCAAGCCCGGGAGGGTTTGGACGATTTTGCTCCGTCTCTGGGTGTGGCTGTGGCTACGTATGCTGCTGCTATCATACGTTTCCGCCCGAAACGAGGTAGCAGCAGCAGCATAGCAGTATTTGTATCACCCGAGTAGCTTTTATTTTTTTCTCGGTTGGTGTCAATTTTGGGGGACATCGCGTTTTGTGCATATTTATACTTTTGTTTTTACATGCTGCGTGCAGGTACCGTACTCGGGTTTTTTGTGGTGAGTCGGCGCGTGTGCTACGTCCGAATTCCTTTTTCCGATTTGTTTTGCGGGTCCCTGGCGAGCTATCTATACGTGCATAGGCAATGCTGCACCTGTTTCGGTCTTGAAAATGAACTGACACCACGAAATGGGTTGTCGGTGGTATTCTGTTAGTGCTCTTCTAGATACTCCTTTTGTTCGTGGTTTGTTGTACTTCTCTTCCCCTCCTCCAAGCAGTATTTAACGGGTACGTTCAGTACACTACCACACGTGCGGAGATATTTTTTCTCTTTTTCGCTTGCCGTAAAAATGCCCTTTGGTGAGCTTTTTTGGGCAACAAACGGAGGCGAGTAGGGGTGGGCGAGGGGGTGCGGGGGGAGGCCAAAATCGCGTCAAGATTGAAGCCAGCTCCTCCAGGCAAAAAATCTCACGACCAGAACAACAATTTGTCTTGTGCGCACATACGTACAATATGTGGATTGATTGATTGAGTGTCCGCCGTATGCACAAGAGCTCGATTTCTCTCAAAAACGCTCTATAGAAAAGGATGGCTGGAGTTCTTACGCGAGCGCATGCATAACGTACCTGCGTATGCGACCCACCGAGCTACCATCTGCGTAGAGCCTCCGACGCAGGAATTTTTTGAAGGGTTTGGTGAACGACCATCACGGACGGCTCCCTGCTGGCTGGATACATGGGAAATTGTGTGTGTGAGGCGCGTGGATGGATAAGGAATGTGGGTGGGGACTGTTGTGTTTCGTGTTTGGGCGGGAGGGAAGGAGTGCTGCTGCGTGTTGAACGATTTTTTTATCCTGTGTCGACCGACCGCGCACTTTGCCAGCCAAAGAAAGTGGCGATGATATGCTGTATGTTCCCCGTTGCTGTTTCATGTTACACAATTTTTTTTCATTTTTTTTTCTTCACTCTACGGTGGGCTTCTCTCGGCTGTGAGGGGAAATATAACGTGGTCGATAGCAGCTAAAAAAGGAGACCAGCTGTTGAACGATTCCTTGTTCGTGTGGGACCCTGTATTCAAACTCGTCGACGTAGAATGCGAAACCGTAGGATTAGCTGATATAAAGAACCGTCCTTGTTGTGGGAGGAGCGATGGGAACGAGTTAGATTTTGGAATAATACAAGAGAACGAAAAGAGAATGGAAATGGTGTACGTGTATTTCCTACCTACCGTAGGCTTGAACGTGGTTGAATTGATTGGTGACGTCGCATCCCTGTGATGTTTACAGGGAATGGGTTCGAATCTCGGCCCAGCCATACACACGAACCTGTGCTTTTTTCTGACGATACTGCTGTGTATGCCCGAACAAAAAACTGGAAAGCGATATTTTCGTGTGTGCGAAACACATCCAGTTTGTGGTCAACGATGGACAAGTTCGACCGAATATTTTTCGCGGTAACAACGAAGACAAAAAAAGTCTCGCAAAGGGATGTTGAGGGAAGAAAAGTCTCTGTGTGGCCTGCTTCCCTTGTGCCCCCAGTTGATGTGTGCAGAAAACATACGACAACTGCTATACCACCGTAAAAAATGTCCAGCATGGCACATACTTCTCGCGATAAAAATATCTCAGGCAGGAACCGCAGGAGGGGGTCCAGCTCCCCCGTCCTATGTGACCCCGGTTGGGTCGTCTAGCTAGTAGAAGTGGAGGGTGGGGGCCAGAAGGGCAAACGACACAGTCTAATAATGGGAGAAAAAACAAAAATAAAAATAAAATACCAACAACACACATGGAACGACATACGCGCTAAACACAAGCAAAGAACAAAAATTGTGAACACGTTTGTTTCGTTAAACTCGCACAGACAATGGCGTAGTAGCAGCAGCAGCAGCAGCAGCAGCAGCAATCGAAGACCGACGGCAAACAAACAAAATGTTGACATCGCAACTTCTTGAGCGTGGGATTTGTGTGGGCGTCGCGCTGAGGGGGTCGATCATTTACGCCCTGACAAGAGCGACAAAACGTTCCACCCTCCCACCCTGCCTGCCTGATGATACATCGAGACCCCAAATGAAAGGGGGCAATCATGGCTTGGGTCGTAACAGAGTGTGATGTGGCGCGAAGAGACCTGCTGCTGCTAGAAGCATGCCAATCGAAGGGCGTCCATGTTCTTTCGTAGCGTACGGGATACATTCTGCGTCATGCGCCACCATACACATCGTAAAAACTCTGTTTCGTGTGGACAATTCGATTCTGCCGCTGCTGCAGGCCGACTAGAAGTAAACCCCCCCAAAAAACACTAGCCTATCGGCGTGGCGGCTACAAGTGCCAAGTTGGACTAGAACAACGGAAGCATCCGCGGGGCAAGATCAAACGCCCGACGAGCGAAAACAAACGAAAAAAGCGTTCTTGCATTTTGTGTTTTTTTCTCCCATCATTGGACTCTGTCGTCTGCCCCTCTGGCCCCTATCCTCCACTTCTACGAGCTAGACGACCCAACCGAGGTCACACAGGAGGGCGGGGTTGGACCCCCTCCTGCGGTTCCTGCCTGAGATATTTTTATCGCGAGAAGGGTACAGCAATCCCTTCCCTCGCGACTTACGAAGTCGATCAATGTACCCGTATTACTGTTCCAGGAGAATGAAGTGTTGAAGTGTCACGGCCTCTTCCCACTCTACCACCACCAAAAAATGACGATGGTTTAATAACATATACACAAACTTCCCAGGGATAACTCCTGAAAGCAATAAATAACAAGCGCTCCAAGTACACGTGGGCTGGGCACGACACATGTTTGACAACGAATGTTCGTCGACCAACGGCTGGTTGAGTGCTGGCCGAATCGCGACGTTTCTGTACGTCAAACGGTGCAGAAAACGGCCGAGGTCTCTGCACAGCAATCTCATTGGGTCAGAACGGCTATTAACGTTCGAACAGCAGTGACTTCGACATACATTGTACGGTGCCGCCACTATCGCTACCTTTAACAGCTCTACTAAAATCCCACATCCCACATCGACATCCATCGATGGTGGTTGCTTGGTAGCAGCACCACAGTAGCAGCCGCAGCCGCTGCCGCTCCCAACACGTTCATCCACCTCACGAAACCACTTCGACGATGGCCTCGATCTCTACGCAGACCCCCAGTGGCAAGGCGTTCACCCCGACGGCCGAACGCGCGTGCGCTCCCTTCTCCCGCCCGAAGACCTCCATGAAGAGGTCGCTGGCCCCGTTCAAGACCGCCGACTGCCCGGTGAAACCGTCGGCCGAGCGGACGAACCCGGTGATCTTGACCAATCGAATATTGTCCAAGTCTCCCGCCGCCGCTGTGGTGAGTGGGTTTTCGGGGGAGGGGGTTCGGATGCGTGTGGCCGGGGATGGGGGGGAGGGGGGGGTGTACTCATAGTCGTGCATGCCGTAGTCGTTAGACCATTGACCTCGCATCCCTACAAAGCCGGGACGGAGCACGCCGGGTTCTCACCGGACCAGGCTCTCACATCACCAAGCGCGAAGCGCCGTGAGATATTCGGCGAGTCGCATGAAGGGTGCGCTGCATCCTGCTAAGGGTGTTCGGCATCTTGTGCTTACTTCCTTGCGTACGGATGACAGCTGCGTATGAATTAATTTATTTTCTGGTGCTTTCACTTCCAGAGACAGTTGTAAGCACTGTGTAACTGCCTCGAGGGTGCTTGACAGTTTTAACACAACGTGGTGCGATCATCCCCCTTGCGCGGAGCGAGGCTTCTCGACCCCGCACAACATGATCTACTCGACCACCATTATGGTTACGGGGGGGGATTGACAAAGCAAATCCTCAGTCTTTCGGGTCAATTGGGTGCTAGACGACGACGACGACGACGACGATCAGATGTGCGAGGCAGAGCCTTCGCATGTTTTTGCTCAACAAGGCGTTTGTCAGCAGCGGGGACTTTTGAACACTCTCTCGTGGGTGGCCGCACCCCTGCTGGTTGTAGGTGCTAGGAAGATACACGGGTACCGGTGCGGTCGAGAGACGAGGCAGTCTTCGAGGGACACCGGCACCGAAAACGACAGCAAAAATCTGTCCATACTGCTGTACACGCACAGAAAATGAAAGTGAAATCTAAGCGCGTGATACTGTCAAGTAAGAGCCGCAGTGATCGTGTTGAAGTAGGAAGACCGCGCATCATAGCCTCGGGATAGGGGTACTCAGAGAGGTGAGATAGCAACAGCAACACCGCGATGTAGCAACTACCGTCTTCTGTGGGAGCGGAGGAAAAACGGACCCTCCCTGTGATGAACCTAGTCTCAGGTCCAAAGATCGTAAGAGCTTCGTCCCCGCGAACACGAAGGAGGTGACATCTATCGAGACGCGTGCGTGCGCCCCCGTTGCTATTGTTCATCTATCGCACGGTGCCCCCGTGCATTCCCACCCACCTCTCATGGTGGTGATGAGGTTGATTGCGACCAGCCTTGCCGCCTCCGCCCCCTGCTCGACCTCTAAGTCAGAACCTACCTGAAGCGGCCAAAAAGAAAAGAGAAGCACGACGACGACAACGGTGACACGGGGTGTTGCGCGGCCGACTGACTGAGGGAGATGAGATAACATAACAGGAGGAAACGAGCAATGGTAACGCTTAATTGCTGCGCACGTAAGAACCACTTATTTGCTGTCTCTTAATTGCGAGAGAGAGAGAGAAGAGGTGCCCGTAATTAATTGATTGGCCAATTTTTTTAAGGACCGTTCCATAGAAAGGGCAAAAATCCCTGGTCGTCCAAGGACGTCACCCACGGTCGAGAAGTCGCCTTTCGGCGAAATTCAAAACTCAAAATTTTTGAATTAAAAAAATTGGCCAATCAATTAATTGCGGGCACCTTTTCTCTCTCTCTCTGCGTACGTAATAGCTAAGATGAAATTTGCGAGCAAGAGACCACAGCTTTCNGTTTCCGAGAACGACTCGACCTCGGTTGATATGCTGCGCATGGGCATACAGGAGTGGCAGGATCAGACTCACGCGTGTGCCGCACTCGAACCGTACGCGAGAGCTTGGTGGACTCGTGGGGACCCATCCCTGGGTCGGTCCTTTGGTTGCGGGCTAACAACGTCAAGACGAGAACAGCCCTCCTTGGGGCAAACCAACGCCTCCAACACTTGCAAACCCCTTCCCACGAAACAAACAAACCCACGGTGGCAACGCACGCAGAGGCACACCGCTCGTGGTACGCGGCAATGCGACCACCGAACAGATCTACCACGTGTGTGGAATGCGGAACACCCACGGTACATTCCAGGCATTCTCCGAGCCACGTCCTCGGAATAACGTTCGGCGCCGGTTCAGTGGGACACGACGACATTCCAAACAACGTTTCGCGAAGCTGCCGTTCGGTACACTCAATCCGGTCGCCCCGGCGGTCTAGTGGGTAGCCTCGCAGCCTGCTAAGGGCCAGGTCATGGGTTCGAGTCCCGACAGAGTCGAGTTTTTTTCTCGCTAATTGAATCCTGGTCTCCGTTCGAAGCGACGCGCTGCAAAGCTCGTTGTTAGTAAACTTGATCGACTTCGTAAGTCGCGAGGGAAGGGATTGCTGTACCCTTCTCGCGATAAAAATATCTCAGGCAGGAACCGCAGGAGGGGGTCCAACCCCCCCCTCCTATGTGATCCCGGTTGGGTCGTCTAGCTGGTAGAAGTGGAGGATAGGGGCCAGGGGGGCGGACGACAGAGTCCAATGATGGGAGACAAAAAAAAAAAAAAACATCGTTTTAGTAGGAGATGTACGTCGTCATGCCGACCACAACACACAAGGCTGCTGCATGCAGCTAGCCGTGTCGCGCTTTTGAGAGGCAGCAAGCAGCAAGCCTAACCTTTCCGGTGGTGAGGGTGCCATCGGGCGCCTTGGGGAGGTGTCCCGACATGTAGAGCGTGTCTCCAGATCTCCGGTGGAGGACATAGTTCCCTGCTCGCCAGAGAGGGCGGCAACAACAACAACAGCAACAACGAGGGTTGAGCTCGACGAGCTGTTAGCGCCTGCGGCTGTCGACAAAGGAAAGCGCAATGGGATGTTAGGGATGCTGCTGCTACGGCTACTAGGAATCAAGTATCAACAAGAACACCCGCGCGCAAACACGACAGCAACGACGAAATAAGCAGGCCGATCTCGCCCCCCAAGGACGAAAAGCCGCACTACACCTTGCGCATACGCCGGGAGGCAGCTCGCCACGCCACCAAAAAGTTCATTCGGGAAACCTTCCTCCTGCTTACAATTAGCACTGCTGTGCCTCTCGGCCCGTTACATAGCCATCACAGCACGTTGCCGCACTGCTGTGCCTCTCGGCCCGCTACACAGGCATCAAAACGCATTGCCTGCGGGAGCCACCTCGGGCAGCGTGATATCCAGCTGCTTGAGCCTTTCCTCTACAGCTCCAGTTGCCATCGTCGTTGAGCTCGAGGGGCGGCCGGTGGGGCTGGCCGCACAGGAAGGTGATAATCGGGGAGAAGCTGGGCGCACGTTGTCGCAAGAAGGAAGAAGAGAAAAGGAGAGAGCGAGAGGTGTTGTACGCATGCGCAAGTATTCCGTGCAGAGTGCAGCGCGACAGCCGAGGCGAGCCCGCAGGAAGAGTCAGTGCCGAGTGTGTCAGCAAAATAAGTGTCCCGTGTACCGCACCTGAACCTGACTGATACAATCTGATCTGCACGAGCAGCAACGAGCAAGCATCTGGATCCCGACCCAGACATAGGCATCGAACCGACCTAAAACATTTATTCCTGCTGTGCTAACCAGACCTATACATGAGCATATGTACCTGTAGTCAACAGAGAGCACGAGGGCATCCATGGCATTGCAACAGGTGTGCTTCCTTTGTAATTATCTACACGTAAGTCATTGATGTCTGTCGTGCCTTCTGAGAAATTCGTCGGTCGTCGTACAGAAGAAAACACAAACATCTACACTACACAGAGTCCTTACCAGTAAACACCGGTAACGGTAATGCCCGTAACCGTTACCCGACCTTGTGCCGTGTCTCAACCGCTGTTCAACCCCAGCACCCAAGTAACCGGAGGGGGGGATGCAAGGACGCAACAACGATGCATTCAAACATGGGGTGTTCGCACCTCCGATTTGACGGTTCCAAGGACCTTGGCGCAGGATGAAGGAGTCAAGAGGCACCACGCACAGCCACAGCGCTAAGAAGGCGAAGGCAAATGCACGGTCCAACATGAACACTGTAAAATTGTCTTCAGCAGTAGCAAGGAGCCCGGAAGCCGAAGCCTGGTAACTACGCCCCCCACTACGGGTTTGTATACTTCACGCTAACCGTTATTCTTTATCGGGGATGGGCATCATGCGCTGCAACGCTGAACGAAACTGCCAGAGGGCAGAGGGCGGGCAAAAGCGACGGCCAACACTCGAGGGTTTCGGTTACATCCTCGCGTTCGTCATGATGTTCGTCGGAAGTCACCGTTGACTTCAGGACATGAGTTGCTGCTGCTGTACAATATATGTATTGTTTGTTGCAGGTTCGGCCCGACAAGGTGGGGAAAAAAAAGGTGGAGTTCTGTGCACTGCACTCTGCTCTCTCTGTCGGTCGATGAGAGGGCAAGAGGGCGCGCGAATTGCGTCCTCACAGGAAGAAGCAGGAGGCACATCGATCGCCGACCCCGGCTCCATCAAAAAGCATCGTGGAGGTGAAGGTTTCACAACATGATTACCAAAAGTTATTGCGTTGTTGTTGCGGTAGGGTAATCGGTTGACATGTGGGATGGAGAGTTCTTCAGCAGTTGTCTCGGTTTTGAAGCGGGATCAGAAATCCCAACTTGCAGTTGGGGCATCCTCTGAATAGTGCCGGTTGATCTGAATGGTGTGCCGCCATCTCCTGGCGGGCACATACCACCACTGGGAGCCCGCCAGTACTACTGTACGTACAACACGAAGGACTGCACGGCAGGGCTACTACTACTGCTGTATTCGTGCAACACGAAGAAGGTCTATCTACACGGCAGGGCTTGACTCATTTTATTTTGCAAACGACAAACAAATCGTTAGAGTTTGATCGAGCTCCCGCCTCGTGCGGCGCTATGTCCCGCTTTTCAACATGAAGAGGGGTGACATTTTTGTCAACGGCTGTTTGTCGCCAGTTATCCAACGCCACTGCTGTGTGGCCATCTACAAAGTATCTACATCGGTTCTGTTTGTAAAGCACCGGTGCTAATATCATCCCTTGCTCACTCTCAGTGAAGTCTGTATGTGCGTCCAATCTTTGTTTCAAGTCCAACGTTTGCTTTTACAATACATAAAATTATGCGTTCTACATGTGCGTTGGGAGAGTCGATGCATTCGCTATCATCTCATCGAGATATGTTACGACAAATCCAACACGGCCAACAAGAAGATCCCTTTTTAACACACACAGACCAGCGCTACACACAGCAGAAAATGCATCAACAGCCTCGCTCCGGCACTCGAACAAAGGCAACATGACGGAACTCTAACTGCCTGCCCGTGTCCAACAGCCCCCCCCCCCCCCCCCCCCCCCCCCCCCCCCCCCCCCCCCCCCCCCCCCCCCCCCCCCCCCCCCCCCCCCCCCCCCCCCCCCCCCCCCCCCCCCC